ACATGTAATCCGCGGCTGAGTTTGGCGTTATTGCCATTTAAAGTGACATTCAACTGAACGAACGTGAGGATTCAACCTTTTCAATAAACTCTGAAAACTTTGGTATCTAATAATATAATCTGCTCAGTGTAAATGTTACGTTACCCAGGAGAACAGATTTGTGAAGTTTTGTAGGATCATTATCACACTTGCCAAATGTATTTGTATAATAAATGCTGGAAATACGAAATTGGTAAACACCTATTTAAAAGTCAGTTATCCGATGTAGAAAGCCAAACAGAGAAACAAAACAAACATTTTCTGCAGTACATAACCATTTCGTCCATTTAGGCCTGAGCGATGATAGTCTAGTGGTAGAACGCCGGGCTCGTGACCGAAGGGTTGAGGGTTCGAGTCACTTTGCTGTATATATGAACAAGATACTCCGCTTGTTCCAGTCTACTCAGCTGTAAATGAGTACGTGGTTGGGCAGTGCTTGAATTGTTGAATGTAGCTGTTAGCGCCGAAATGGCAGCACCGGCTGTATGCTCCCCAGGGAGTTGAGAGAAATATTGGCTGGTTGCAAAGGTCCTATAGGAACCACAAAGATTAATTGTGAACCGCTTTGAGACGACCTACGAACTAGGTTATGATAAAGCGGTATATAAGAACCTCGAATTATTATTAGTTACGGTTAAAAGAATGAAAATTCATATCTACTAAATCCTTTTGGATTTAGCTGTAGCACGGTTGGGCTAGAACACTTCTGTCGACTAGGTAGCTCAGTCGATTAGAGCAATAGTATCACAGTCTGAAGTTCTGGGTTCGAATACCGGTCTAGTCCCGTTAGAGTTTTACACTCTAAATCCAATCAACAGGTAAGACGATAAATGGAATGATCATAAGGATCCCTGTCCCACTGGACTGTGGGTTTTCCTATAAACAGTACCCCTTCCCTTAACTTCCGTTTGGATATAACTGTAGCACAGTTGGGCCCGGACACTTCCGATGACTAGGTAGAGCGATAGTATAACAGTCTGAAGTCCTTGGTTCAAATTCCGGTTAAGCCATGCTAAAGTTTGATATTCAGAAAATTATATTTTGTTAACTTCATCCTCATTATTTTTTCATAAAGTCCCGGCAAGGTATGGTTTTCTTTTTCAGAAATTATTAATCGAATCTTTAGTCGTGCCAGACAAAAAAAATCAACTTCTGACAGTGGTACGACAGAAGGGCGGATTCTAGTAGCAGATGTCTTGACAAGCGGACTAGAATATCATCTATAGGGTGTTTCCAAAATTTTAAATTTGTGAGAAGTTTGGAACATGAACGATTTATCATAAAAACACCCCAAACATGTACAGACTTCGAAGGACCGCCAGCTCGTAGCGTATTTCAACCAACTTCCTTATTCCATAAGGGCGTATGTTTGATTCCTACAAGTAATCATCCCATGGTCTGACACCGGGTTATCGGGTCACATTAAAAATTGATATTGGGCGGTTTCTTACCAGTATCACTGGTACTTTACAAGCCTCGCCCCTTACATGTCGGATACCAAGTATGATACTACGCTCGGCCAAAAACCACACGCTGCATGCTCTCGACAGGAGGACTTGGTAACTTCAGTTTGTATCAGATTTAAATCGTATCATCAGTTAGATTCATATAGAATGTCGGTGTCCACATTACATGTATGACATGACCTCGCAAGTGCTATTTTTAGTGAGAAAATAAAATAAATCCTACAACATCACTGCTGCAGTGTTGACACCACTACCGGGGTCTTATGCTGACAAGATAGGAATAAGTAAATACAAAATTAATTTAAAAGGAAATTATCTCCAATGTTTGTTTAAAATAGTCATGACTTTTTTTTTTTTTTTTATATTATGCGACAAGTGAACGTTAGAATTTTACTGTACTGGTGACATTTATGCAAACTTTAAATCGTCCTTACGGTATTTACTGATAAAGAACACGTAATGCTTTCTTTGTTTCTACATTTCACAAGTAAGATACTGCCAACATTCAGCGGGAATCTATATTTAAAATGGCTTTTCGTGTATACATTGTTTACCCAAAGGATGTCAATATGTGTCTTATTAGTAAGGGGAAATGTGTCAAAGCGGATATTTTCATTTAAGGATCCCCATACCACTGCCAAAACCCCCTATGAACTGGAAATTGTGTTTTGCTGACATGAAAATAGCTTAAATAAATCATTTTTGAAAAAAACTATGTCTTAGGAACTTTTATTAAAAATGATAAAAATGAAATTCCTGAATACAGAAAATTAACACACGGGGTTTTAAGAGTAAAAAAGGAAAACAGACAAGACGGGGATTCGAACCCTCGCCATCTGATTACAATACAATCGCTTTAGGATCTGAACCATCAGAACAGCTGTTATTTTCCAACCTAATTCCATTTTATGTCCAAAATGAAACTTTTTTTTTTTTTTTTAGGTTCAAATTGTTTTATTCCCCAAACATCTTTGGGAGGGATGTCAGGGTTGGGGTGCGCCCCGGAATCATCCCTCTTACATAATATAGCCTCATGAAAAAGGACTCTTTCTCTTCATTCTCTCTTTCTTTTTCATTCATTCTTTCAACCGGAAGTTAAATGAAACTAAGTGAAGGTTGCTGTATTTAGAAAACAACTGCAGTGAATTCTCTAGGTTTTTTTTTGTTGGGACATAGATCCTTAAGTTCAAATTTAGATTTTATGTACGGCATTTTGTTTGGCAAATAGCAGAAAGTTACAGAGTTCGTATGATATTCTTGTGTTATCAGGAGATTGAAATCCGTCATTTTCTAAACACGGTAGATATACGTGTATATATACCAGTATATATATATCTCGACTTCGGAAGTGGCTGAGAGGTGCTACTTCCTATACGGGCTAAGTCACTCAAGCCTAGTTAGTTTATTTTCAAATCTATGCTGATTTACAATTCATTATTTTGTTCAAAATAATGTTCAAAATAACAGATAATGTATTAATTAAGAGTAAATATATAAATGTTTACACAGATCATTCCAAATCTCTTTTTCAATCCGCGTGAAGTTGTCATTTGATTTGTTTTATAAATAGTTAGTGAGAGCTAATTCTATATCGGTATCTACAAATGTAGCTGATTTCATTCACACAGTGTAGGTCACACAAAAAAAGGACTCCATTAGCCCCAGGTTATGTTTAACATCTACTGTAGCTGATAATTTTTGCCTTTTTGTGATCACTGTACGTTTTTAAAATTGACAACATCGGCTTTACGCGTGTAATGTATTTTGTCCTTAAAGGTCAAAACCTAAGAGAGTTCTTTATTATGTTAATTAAAATCCAATTAGTGTACGTACACGGCAATGGTTAAACTGATGGTATTTTCTTTGATTTTACGTATGTAAGTTATCACATAGTGTGCTATTTGATATCCTTTGGTTAATTATATGATAAAATAATCTTGAAATAATTTTAAATACATATGATTTTTATGAAATTCGTTCAAGTTCGTTTCATGAAATTCCTAAGTAATGGACAACCAGTTTGAGATCCTTTTTATTGCTTATAAATGAAATATGGAAGTTGTATGAAAACCCGCCTTCGTGAAGGTAAAACATTGTGAAGGAGATTGAACCCATAGCTCCTCATCAATGGCAGTCGTAAAGCAAGTCAAAATTGAAATAAATCATGAGTTGTACGGTTGTAAACAAATATAGTTGTTTCAGATCATGGACAAGTTACAGAATACATAACTACAGTCAAATGGCGTCATTGAAGATATTTTCAGGCCATAATTAATGTCGCTCACAGTATTTGTCGCTTTTAAGCATGACATTTTCAATTCACAAGAACAAAAACATTGACGTTAAGAATAAAAAGGAATTTTCTCTATTGATTTTTAATTCCAACGTTCTCTGTCTATTCTATCTCCATGGTGTCTTTCCCGAAATATATTGTCACGGGAAATAATGACAGGTTAATTAACTGCAATAAATCCTATTTGGTACTATGGGGAAAACTTCCTAAAGTTAGCACGCGAGAAGACTACATGTATAAGAAACACAGAAAATGTTACTGATGTGACCTACATCTGTTAAAATACTCGTTCGATGTATGGCAGTTTCCATTAAGTTATATATCGACGCTGCCTAATTTCATGACACAACAAATTTGCGATCAAGATCAACAATCGATGTTTGCCAACACCACACAAAGGTGGCAATTAGGAAGAGACTGTTAGGGGAGTATTCATTAGAGCGAAAACAGGCTCCAGTGTTTATCGTGCCTTTCGCGCCAAAACGATGTAACTGAACGCAGAATTTGCTGTGATATTTAGGGAAGGCTGTAAGGAGATACATGTATCAACGGGTATATTGTTATACATCTTTAGAAGGTTTTAGGTGAAGGGAGCTCCCATTCTTGCCTAGTATGTTGTAAGAAGTGTAAGGGGAGGTGAAACCTACCGTTGATGGCGATTTAAAGTGGATATCAAATCTATATATGATGACTCTTCGGTTGTATATACTATCGACACCGCATAGATAGGTGTTGGAGGGGTTTACGATGATCTCCGCAGTTAAAGGATATTTGATTGGTAAGATAATCTCAACTCCGCATTTCTCAACCCCGCAGTTAAAGGATATTTGAATGAAGCTTATGTATATAAGCTTAGTTTAAACTGATAAATTTCATTCTATCTATCTGTATTTATATTGCTACCATCCGTACTGAATTTATCATACTTGGTAGTATACTTTATAATTGAATGTAACCTATTATAATGTCTTCAGATAGGAACGCATATGTACAATACATAAGTAGGGCCAGTTTGTTTTCATTAATGATATGCAGTAGGGGGGCCAGGTCAACGAGTAATTTGATTGGTCAACAGATTCAAGCTAAACATCTTCATTGTTTTAGCTGGCAGTTTAGTTAGCTTGGGATTTATCAATCGTGTTTACATTTCTACCTCTACTCATCTAACGTATTTAATATATATATTTAAACATTTGCATTTATCATCTTTTCCAATGGATTGAGTTCGTTCACCGTAATTAGCATTTCTTTGCGATGTTTGTTTACATCGAGTGACTTTGCGTACGGAAATTTTCTCACGCTTGTTCTCCCGCCATGGCGCCTAAAGGAAAATCCACTACGAGCACAAAACGTAAAACCAGAACTTCAAAAACAACACCGTGGGACTCTAACAACCCTCAAAACTGGACAATTCAGCAACTTAAAAGTGAGTTGGAGAAATTGAACATTCATGGTTCTTTCACGGGCATGTCAAAAATCGCGCTACGGAATTTGTATCTCGAAAACGTAAACAGACACCGAGAAGTAAGTGTTACGGCCTCCCAGTCAGAATCTGTTACGCCTGCCAATATTACGAATACATCTGCAGATGAAGTTTTAGATACTACGAACAATTCATCCTTAGATGCTTGTGCTTTGGACATTTCCGATGTGGAACTACTTTCCGACGCGGAACATTCCGCGCACTCATCCCAGACGGTTTGTGATCAGTCCGCGCAACCTACAGGAAGTCAATCTGCTACGTCACGGCGGAGGGATTCCAACATGGCAGCGCCCAGTGTGGATAACAACCAAGAGATACAGCAGCTTCAGAAAACAGTGATCGAGCTACAACAGACCATGATAGCGATGATGAGCTCACAAACGACGGCTAAGGAGTCTGTTCCAGAATCATCGTCAGGATATACTCTCGCCACAGCATTAGAAGCACTGAGAAATACCGGCGACTGTACGGCAAATGTCGCGTCAGCCAGCACCAGTACAGGTGGGTACAGATTACCTAAATCGCAATATGGTGTACCGGCAGAGTGTATTCCACATGTCGATGTCGTATCTGAGAATATACAGAAGAAAATATGGGAGGGTAGAGACATTAATCTTGCCAGTCTTCTAATCCCACGATATGAAACATGTAAAAATACTGGAGACAGGATGGACGGAATTCATATCAGTATTAATGAGGTAGAAGACCCCCGCCTAAGTAAGTCGCTCAGTATCTCGGAATACATCACAGCTTTTGGAAAGTACAAGAGGGTGCTCTGTACCAAATTCCCAGAGCGACGACCAGAATTGGACAGATATGAAGCAAATGTAATTGAAATTTCTAACATCTACGGCTCTCATTTTTACGAGTACCACTGCCAGTTCTCAGCTAGGGCGGCAGCAGCATTGAGAGACAATAACATTAAGGTGGATTGGGCGATTAAGGATAATGGTCTTCTCAACATGGTAGTATGTAATGCCAAAGTAAACACCTGTCAGCTGTGTGGCTTAACTACACATTCTACTGCCTTCTGCCCACAGCAGCGCCACAAAACATCACATTCTAGACATCAGTCAGGAGTGAGTAGGAAAGAAGTGGACAAACATGGCCGCCAAAAAGTCAAAGTTAATGGGCAAGAGTTGTGCAATAACTTTAACAATGGCAAATGTACCAGGGGAGACTCATGTTTTTTCGCTCATATTTGTGCTAATTGTCAGGCCAACAATCATGGAGCCGCAGTGTGTAAGAAAAACAAGACGTCGCAATGACAATCAGTTATGGACAATACATCTTCAACTCCTATAAACATTGAGTGTTTGGCTGAGGAATTACAAAAACACCCCAACAGAGAGTTTGTGAATTATCTTATAGACGGACTAAAGCAAGGTTTCGACACCATGGTGTCAACTACTTCTCTGCCTACTATAGAATGCAAGAATTTACAATCGGCATACAACAATTCTGGTATTTTGGACTCCCTGGTCGCATCCGAGGTAGAGAAAGGATTTTTATGTGGACCTTATATTCAACTACCCTTTAGGCAGTACAGAGTTAGCCCTATAGGAGTAGCTATTGGAAAGTATTCTAAGAAACCTCGCCTTATAGTAGACTTGTCATCCCCGCACGAGGACAACACACATCCATCGGTTAATGAATTAATAGACAAGGAGCAGTGTTCACTGAGCTATGTCAAGATAGATGATGCCATATCACTCATACAATCTCTAGGCAAACACACAACCATGTGCAAGACTGACATCTCTGATGCTTTCAAGTTGATGCCTATTCATCCTAGTCAGTGGCACTTGTATTGTATCCTTTGGAAAGGGAAGTACTATTTCTACAATAAATTGGCCTTTGGGTGTAGATCAAGTCCAAAAATTTTTGACACCTTATCGGAAGCTATTTGTTGGATCGCGCGAGAGAACTATGGCATACCACACATCTTACACCTACTTGATGACTTTATAACATTTGAATGTCCTAGCAAATGTGGAGAGAGAAATATGGCATTGTTATATCTGATTTTTAACAGACTCAATATCCCCATGGCAAAACACAAAACATGCGGACCTGAAACAGTCATAGAGTATTTGGGTATCATTTTGGATTCCAACAAGATGGAAGCACGACTACCAGACGACAAACTCTGCAGAATAACAGAATTTCTGACAGACTTTCAATCGAGACAGTCGTGCACCAAACGGGAGATGTTACAACTGCTTGGTCATCTTAATTTTGCGAGCAGGGTAGTGCTTCCAGGAAGATCATTCGTGTCTCACTTAATTCAACGTTCCATCACGGTGAAAGCTCTACATCATCATATCAAGATAAATAATGAGTGTAGGGAAGATGTTAAAATGTGGCTACAGTTCTTGCTACAGTGGAATGGTGTGTCAATGTTTTACAATACCCAAGTTATCACATCTGATGATTTATATCTTTACACTGATGCATCAGGAACACGTGGTTATGGTGGGTATTTTCAACACGAGTGGTTTGCCCAACCATGGCCTGCAGGGTTACAAGGAATGGTGTCTAAATCCGACGAGTTATCTATAGCTTTCAAGGAATTATATCCTATTGTAGTAGCTGCACTATTGTGGGGCCATAGGTGGTTAGGTCAACGTATTGTGTTCATGTGTGATAACTCCGCTACCGTGGCTATTCTTCAGAAAGGCCGATCCAGATCAGCTCACATCATGCCACTAATGAGGAGATTAACCTGGTGTGCAGCGACCCATAACTTTTCTATATTATCTAAGCATGTTCCTGGCAAACTCAATGTCATAGCTGATTCTTTGTCTCGGTTACAGCTGGAGAAATTCAGACAACTAGTCCCATCGGCTTGCAGGTACCCACGCGTGGTTCCAGCCCCTTCAGAGGTCTTGTGGAGCTCCAACCAGTCATCGAGAACTTGTGGAATGCAGCAATAGCCCCCAGCACAAGAACCACTTACCAGACAGGTTTTAACTTTTTTATTAGATTCCTCCTTATGACAGGAGTGATTGCTAGTGCTGGCGCGTTAGACATTCAAGTGACAGAAGATTTGCTGATATATTTTGCAGCACATTGTTTTAACAGTAAATTGTCTCATAATACAGTTAAACTATATTTATGTGGTATACGTTTCATGTGCCTTCAACAGAACATTGCATACCCGGTGGCGAAAGATATGCCACGTCTCTTTTCCGTGTTAAATGGCATTAAACGGTCGCAAGCTAAGCCAACTAGACCGCGTCACCCAATAACTTTTAACATTCTAAAGGAAGTTTGTGTATTTCTTCGGAAGACAACACACAGATTATTTGATGATGTGCTTTTGGAAACGGTGTGTATAGTGGCCTTTTTTGGGTTCTTAAGGTGTGGTGAGTTTACGGTTAAAAGCAAATTTGACTCATCTATTCATCTGTGCGTGAAGGACTTGGCTATACTACAGGATTGTGTAATATTGACACTTAAGTGTTCTAAAACGGACCCTTTCAGGAAAGGAATAGCCATCAAACTTTTCAAAACTGATAATTATATTTGTCCTTACAATGCATGTCGCCAGTATATCACAGCAAGGCTACAACAGAATCCATCTCCTTTGGATCCATTGTTTGCGAACCATGATGGCAATGCTTTATCACGTAATACATTTCTTGCTAGGTTCAAGCATACTCTTAAATGTGTTGGTATTAACCCAGATATGTATAATGGCCATTCATTTAGGATTGGTGCAGCTACTACTGCAGCTGCAGTTCAGGTGGAAGATCATATGATCAAGGTTTTAGGCAGATGGTCTTCTGATGCCTATTGTAGGTACATCAGAACGCCCCAAGATTCCATCAGGAAAGCTCAGAGATCTATGGCTTTTGCTTGTCGATAATTAACAACAAGCTTTTTATTATTGAAATATTAAGACATAGTGCGTAGGTCTAGAGGTGTCATTATAGTAATAAGACACACATACCTAATATTATTACTAAATCATTTTGGGGCACTCAGTTCAATTCAGTATATCATTTAACTGAGTTTTGGACTTTTCATTCAAAATTATTGTTAAATAAATTCTAATTTCTCATTTCATCCCCAAAATTATTATATGTAGAGATCGATTGAATTCATCAGTATCCTAATTCTCGTAGCTGGTGTATCCTTCTAGATACAGAAGCAGAGGATTAGGGATATTAACTGTAATTTGTCTCAAAAAATTCTTTCATCTTAAACCTTATTCGGGATATTACATGTAGCTCATCAAGCTGCAACGAACGAGGTTTAGGTAATTTGTTTTGGAAATAGAAGTACTAGAAGTTTACAATCGTCACACTACTATACCTTATTCGGACCTGGTAGCTCATCAAGCTGCACCGAGATGAGGAATAGTGTAATACGGGATGATCATCTATCTATATATCTGTATAACCATACTGACACCTATTCCTCATCCGGACCTGGTAGCTCAGCAAGCTACACCGTGATGGGGTATAGCTCATTACAATATACATGATGTCCAGTTATTATCCTCTTCTGTCATACTCATCAGTAGCTCTAGCCAAGTACTGTTCCAACACTGCATTGTTGACGGTCCGCTAGAGTTTTAAGATGAGGATATTTAACTGGACACTACATGCTATCCTTCTTCTGACGACAAATCCAGGAGAAGGATATTTAGTTTATTTTGTAGTAACTGAGTTGCCCCTTTCGCCAAACATAGTTATGTAGTTTGTTATATGAATGTATATGTTTTTAATTATTTGTCATATAATCATGTTATGTCATGTGTTGTGTAATAAATGTATATATTGTAACTTTATATTCTTGTAATTTGTTCAGTTTAAATTGGTAAGATAATCTAAACTTCGCATTTCCTAACTCCGCAGTTGAAGGAGATTTGAGAGATAAAATAATCTCAACTTCGCATTTCTCAACTCCGTAGTTTAAGGAGATTTGAGAGGTAAAACTCCGCATTTGAAGGAGTTTGTTTTGGGATTTAAGATGATCCCAACTCCGTACTAGGATGTGTTTGTGGGGTACAATAGAATTTCAACTCCCCATTATTAGATGTACTTGGGTTGAGGGCGATTTAAAATTCGCATTTGTTCGGTAATGAGGTGAAGGGTGATGATCTCAACAACGCTTCAGAAGGTGTTTTTAATTGTAGATTGATCTCAACTGTTATAAGATGGTGGTTGGGGCAGAAGGTTATATTAACTGAACTTGTTAAAGATCCCCGTACCACTGCCAAAAACTGAAGCTACGAGTCGGAAACTCTTTTTTGTTCGGCGTGACTACGGCTTTGACAAATTATTTTTGAAAATAAAACGATACCTTGAGGGACTTTAAAAATATATTATAATGATAAAGTAAATAAATGTAATCAGCAAAAATGTTCTGAGTGAAAAAATATCAGTGAGGCCAGACCTTGATACGAAACCTGGAACTCAGATTATTGTACTACAGGTATCTCTCTAACCGACAGGACTAGCTGGTCAACGGTGCAACGGTTATATCCAAACGGAAATTAAAGGGAGGTTAAGGTATTTAGATAAAATAGTGTAACCACAGCTCCGCATTTGTGGGTATATGCTGTGTTTGGGTCGCAATTCCGCATAAGTAAGTGCCTTGTCAAAATGACTAGTAGGCATTGGACTAATTCACATTAGGGTTGTAAGGGGATGTCAACCACGAATTAAGAGAAGTTTGGAGATGTGTGAGGGTTGAGAGAAGTGGGGAAGAGGGTTGGAGATGTGGGGGAGGAGTTTTCGAGATGTGTCAGGGAGGAGTTTTGAGATTAGGGGAGAGGGTTAGAGGTGTGGGGGAGGTGTTTGGAGAAGTGGGGGTACCTAAAATCCATTTTGGTAGACGTTTGGTAAGGTAGCGATGATTTAAAATATGCATAACGATGCGATTGAGAGTGTATTGAAGCTCAGCTTATCTGCAATGGTATTCCGTCTTTGCGTATTGCAGAGTTATCTTTTCTTGAGAGCAGGTATTGATTGTTACGTCATTGGCTCGTGTGAGAAAATTACGTCGTTTTCTCAAAAATTGATGACGTTACTCTCACAAACAAATAACGTAACAATCAATCCCTGCTCTCAAGAGAAGATAACTCTGCAATACGCAAAGACGGAATAGATTTTGGAGAAGTACATTGTAGTAGTAGTTTAATAAAAAAAAGGTAAGAGGTGTATTATTTTTACTATTGCATTCTTTACGTCCCATCAACAGAGAAGATGTCATTAGGGCCATTAAAATTGGATAAAACTTGTGAAAGAAAATGGCATTAAACAAACGAAAAAGGAAAAGATAATAGTAAAGTTAAAAACTGGTGAGTTTAATCTTTTAGAACAGATCAATAGTTGTCAGAGATGATTCCTCTTTCCACTACAGAGATTTAAGTCTTCATATATTATTATTAATATTTTCTCTGAATTTCTGAAGGTCAATACAATACAATAATGAGTGCTTTACTATGAATGGCTCATGACATGCTATGCATTAAGGCTGGTTTTCGCGCGAGTAATGTAGGACAGGCCTACCGTAAACAAGCACCAATGACAACCTGGATTTAGCGTCTTTCTCTAGAGCTCCGATACCATTCACCAGTTTAAGGGTTAATAGAGTGTTAATGTTGGAAAAACTCAGATACTGTTCCACAATTTAGTCTGAGACGATGTGCCCGACTATACGCAGAAATTTCCCTATCACTCAACCTTGATTAGTTCAACTGTATAATGGGAGGGAGTAAACGAAAGGAACGCCGACGCAGTATTCCCATGTGTACCGTAGTAGAATACTAAAACAGCACTATCTTACCGTTCGTGACTGTCGCATCTTGGTGTAACAATTCAATTTTAAATCTTCTGAGACGTCTGAAAAATCAATGTGGAGAACATTATTTCCTATATGTTTTAACTTCGACCAAAATTGTACGGGGGATATACATTAGCATGTTTTTTTTCTAACTAAGACTGATACAGCGTGATAAAGTTCTACAGAACGTGACTCATTTGTTCTTACTGATTGCCATGACATTTACGGCTGTTTACACGTCTTTTCAGGACTCTAAGGACAGTTGAGTTCGTACTGATTCTTCATCATGGTCCCTGTGCACGTCGGCGTCTGGATTCACGTCACTCTTGGTAAGTCCTGATGAAATAAAGGTTTGTACTAGTCCTCAGGTAATTTTCAACAATTTTATTGAGATAACATTTGTTTTGTAAGAGAATTTAATTGTACTGCATTGTAGATGTTTTTTTGGAAAGGCTTGTGAAATATGTTTATTCGTCTCCTAAAGGACTTGCATCACATGCATTCAAACCATTCTAACAATACTTAGAATTTCGTTTCTCAAATTTTACTTTCAGTATACTGGCAAGTTGTTGTAGGTTTGAGATTCTTATTGATGATAGGTTACATTAACAGTGTGCATACAGTCTCAGGTATAATCCACAAGGTGTTTGTGGATTTGATATAAGGATGATGGACCTTCAATCGCTGTTGAAGGGCTAAGCCCGAAAGCTTGGACGCGGAGTGATTGTTGCTTTTTATTAATCATTCAGTTATGATATTTGTAGTACTAATTGTGTATCACCTTTTACTTTATAGCGCATATTTTAAAAGAAGTAAGACGCGTGTTATCTGCACTCTCTCAATATTCAACAACTAATGTAATGATTTTTCCATGATGACATTTCTTTGTGTGATATGAAGGTCGATATTGTGTGATATGAAGGTCGATATTGTGTGATATGAAGGTCGATATTGTGTGATATGAAGGTCGATATTGTGGTTGTACCTTTTGGTTTTGTTGTCACTACCCGAGTTCTTGATGTGAGGACATAATATTTCTTGGATTCGGATTAGATTTTCATTGCGGATGTCATCGTTGAAACAGAAGACGTTTATCCCCCCGAACCACCTGGTCTTATTCCCCTTGTACCTTTTTCAAGGATTTCTATGTAAATGTTTCTTTATTCATATTTTGCTTCATCGACGTCGAATTATGGTTTTGTTGACATTTCGTTTTGTTATTGTTGTTTTCATGAACAACATATTTGTACTTTTAGTGTACTTTAGTTGCTTACTCTAAAACGTGGTCTGGTTTAGTATTGTCTGGTTTGGCCTGATAGATCCAGTTAAAAAATAAGTCTAGCGTGGTCTCAATGGTCCGGTCTCAGTGTCTCATATATCAAAACATTATGTAATGTTATATAAGTGTGTAACGCCGGAGATTGTGTCGATCAGTAAATGTCAATACATCAATACATCAATACATCGTGAAACAATTGGTAAATGTGTCAATTTCTGATAAGTTAGATACAAACCTATATAGCTGTTATCTGAATCGATTACCTGAGACGTGTTGAAATTTTAAATAACTCGTCGAAGGGATGGGGTAGTAAACATGAAATACTCAATGTTAATACAAAGCGTCACACCAATTAATCATGACACATATACTGTAGAAAGTTACCTCAACCACGATGTATTTGCCACCTGGCACACGACAATCGGTTATCCTTACACATATTTGTAGTCAGCTTGTAACTGATATAAACATTTGTATACTCTGAGCCCCAATAAATATGTTAAGTTAGGGTGTACATGTTTAAATTCCGCCATATAAAATCAAAAGAACCGTAGTATGTTGCCGCATGCCCGTCGGTGTCAACTCTGTATCTTGACTGTGTCTCCTGAGACTTTAACACACGTCAAAACTTGACTGTGTCTCCTGAGACTTTAACACACGCCACATCTTGACTGTGTCTCCTGAGACTTTAACACACGTCACATCTTGACTGTGTCTCCTAAGACTTTAACACACGTCACATCTTGACTANTTTAACACACGTCACATCTTGACTGTGTCTCCTGAGACTTTAACACACGTCACATCTTGACTGTGTCTCCCGAGACTTTAAAACAGGTCACATCTTGACCCTGTCTCCTGAGACTTTAACACACGTCATATCTGCATCATCTGTGGACAACTTTCTTTGAATTTTATCATAAAAAAAATGGGAATCCCTGACAAAATGCTGTTTGAAACTAGAAAAGAACCCTGAGGTCTAAAAGCCGAAGTTGAATTATTCATGATAGTTTCCCTGTCGGTTTCTTATAAAAAACAACCTAAGTAGTCCTCAAATACGGAAAACGCTAATACACCTATATAATGGTATGAATATTCATGAGCCGTCATAGTGAGAGGATAATGCGTGTTACGTTTACAAGATCGGTTGAGTTATTAGTGTGATGTGATTTATTGTACACTGCCAGAAGCCTGGTAGCAGGAAATAGCTTAAGCAACCGTATATCAGCAGCGTAAGTCGCTCCACTGCGATATAATGGCAAGTATTAATCCCTGTGTCGTGGTCACTGTCCCTTTCAGTCGACCAATTAACCAAGTCATGTCTTTGTTGCTAGCATCTAATGGAAATAGTCTGACTGTGATGCAAATAATCCAGTTTCTTGTCTCTAGTATCACCAAGGAGTCCAAGATGGACGATACAGCTGTCTGATGCAGTGTAATTCATGTTTGGTTCGCTGTATCTGTTACCTAATTTTAATGGTGCAATCACGTACGTATGGGTTCGTTCATCTTTCAATAAATCCAACATAATAAATTGATACGAAATTAGCAAATATTGTCTTGTTAATACTGTTTGTGATATAAAATTAACTTGACTGCTGTGATATGCTTTGCATATTCATTTATTGGGTTTAGAAGGTCATGATACGGGATTTTCTTGTTTGCATGTCTTTGTTCAAGAATGAAGCAAAAACGGTTGAAAGAATTTGTCACCCTTCACCTTTGTAACACTCCTCCATCTTTCCGGGGTATATTTTTTTATATTTCCATCCGCTCGCTGGGATATAATTTTAGCACACACGATTTGGCTGGGACACTTTCGTTGACCATGTAGCTCAGTTGAACAGAGCGGTAATAATTTGAAGTCTAGGATTCGAGTTGATTATATTTTATTTATTCATCTTTGTTATTTCTCATAAGTCCGTAGGGTATGGTTTGCATTTCAGAAATAAGTTATAAATGCTATAGTAATGCCGGTCTTTAATTTTCCTGGGTTTGGCAAAATTGTCAATTTTTCATGAAACTTTTTGCAGAATAAAGCCTGGTAGTCATGACACAAATTATTACGGTAACGATGCATTCAATTTTGCAGGGAAATATAGCGCGAAAATTTGAACCCCACAAAAACAATATTTGCAGTAACTCACGCTTTTATATTTATATAAATCATATTTTATTTTGAGGAGTAGGATATCTTGTGTATCGCTATTGATAAGATAACCCCTATGTTAGAAGAAAACCTAGCCTTTAATATTAGGATCCCCGTATCACTTCCAAAAAATGTTATAATGCACATTTCCAGCATTACTATAGCTTTGATACATCATTTGTGAAAAGAAAACTATACCTTACGTGACTTTTATGAAATGTTAATATATGAAATCAACTAAAATAATCAACCTTGAGTCAAAACAATCATTGTTGCCAGACCAGAGTTCGAACCCATGACCTCAGCTTGTTATATTGTCGCTCTAACTGCCTGAGACAACTTGTCAACGGTAGTGTCATGGCCCAATTGTGATACTGTTATCTCAAAAACGAAATTAAGGGGAGGTTATTATGTATGAAAAAACAGACAGCAGTGAGACAGGGATCCTTAAGAAGTGAACTCCTAAGATATTGAATAGGGATAGTAAGTCTGGCTAAATTTCATCTCCCTGACAAACGCCTTTATTAAACAATCAGGAGTAAAATAGTTCTAACATTATTTTTCATTATACAATATACAGTATATATTTTATATTGGTATACCTCTACTTATTTTACACTATACAAAAGTAACCACATAAACAAGCTATTTTCCCACTAGCTGTATGCCAGGGAAATAGTTCGTCTGGAGGGGTGCGATAGTTTTGAAACTATTACCCTCGGAATATGAGGGAAATTGAGTGACTTCGTGGGCGGGGCCTTACCGAATATTGACCAATCAACGCAATCGAATTACGTTGGCAATTTCCGAAAGCTTGCTATCCCTCATATCCATACTTTAACTGTTAACTATACATTGTATACCATACAATGTGAACGTCGAAAAACATCCATCCATGTGATGTCGTTTTATTATCATAATTAAAATTCCTTTGCGTCAATACAAAACATGAATGCATACTAATGGTTAAATCTAAAATTATTCTATTAACTATTATTGATTCACGGGATAGCTGTTTTTCACAGTATGCAATGCATAGTCTTGAACAAAGACCTACGAGACAGTACGTTGTTAAAGTAGTCAAGTTAATTTAATATCACAAACAGTATTAACAAGACAATATTTGCTAATTTCGTATCAATTTATTATGTTGGATTTATTGAAAGATGAACGAACCCACACATACGGGATTGCACCATTAAAACTAAGTAACAGATACAGCGAACCAAACATGAATTACACTGCATCAGACAGCTGTATCGTCCATCTTGGGGAAAACACAATAAAATATAGTGGCATTCAGATGATTCTCTTGTAATCATCACGCTACTACATTTATATGATACAAAATTAAATTAATTGCTGGGTAACCAATTTGTTTAATATATTTTAGGCCGAGTATATTGACCGATATAACCTGTTATAGTGTAAGTCACCTTGTGCGTAAATGCAGCCATTTCCCCAGCAAGTCTACAATGTATATCTATTTATACAATGCTACAGTAGTAAGTTACCATATTTCCATAATGTCACCTCTGCCATCTTGAGGGTGTCCCATGAGATTTTAATGCACGTTATAGCTACATCATGGACGAACAATTCCGATTACGAAGTCTGTTTCTTTTCATACAGTAAATAAACTAGAATATCATTCGTTCGTCTTAAAGCTGATGTTGAAATATTCATGATATTTTCTCCTCTAGGTTTCAGATAAAAAATAAATAGTTTCAAAATGCGAAAAAAACGCTAATACACCTATATGTTATAATAAATATTCATGAGCCGTCACAGAGATAGGATAATGCGTGTTACATTTACAAGATCGATTGAGTAATTAGTGTGATGTGATTCCTTGTACACTGGCAGCAGCTTGGTAGCAGGTAATAGCTAAGCAATCCACAGAGCGCCAACGTAAATCTATTTACTGCCATTCAGTGGCCGATAAGAATTAGTGTTGTACGTGGATGGTGCCAGTTACAATGACATGAAGATCACTATCCTCTATTAAGTAGGCATGTTCCCCAAGTCTGTGTTGCTCGCGAGGTATGGAAAGGAACGAGTTTCTGGTCATAATTTGAATAAGATAGCTTTCAATAAATCTAACACAATTTCTTCGCAGAAAATGGTTAATCATAGTTTTTGTCTCTATCTCTCCAGAAGTATTTGGCAGATCTTTCTAAATTCATTTGTAGGTCCCCCTTTGGCCGTAGTTGTGCATGTTGCATTTTGTGACTGACTGGGAAAATTAAATGGCCGCCGAGCAGCCCTCTCGGATTTTGACAGTTCAAGTCATATCTCAAGAACTACTTGACAGATCTTTCCTCAAAAATATATCCGGTCCTTGGTTGTGCCGGATATATTTTGAGACTTGGGGAAAACCACGATGACCGTCAGGCAGGCAATTTTAGTTTGACAATTCAAGACTGTTATCGCTATTTATCCAACAGGAAGTACGTAACAGATCCATCTCAAATATAAGTTTCCTTTCTACACTGTATAAAGCGAGTTTTTCGTGTTCGCTAGATTTGCCTACAAGTATATTTTGTTTTTAATCTTTTAGCTGCAAGATAAGAAAAAAATATGTATGCCAGAAAAAAATACTCTCTTGTTCAATTTTTGTCGCATACTTTTTTAGAATTAAAATGCCGAATGACAAGCTGACTTTGAAAGGACACTGAAAAAACCAATGAAGATCTTAGAATGGATGGTTACCAATATTTCTCTTGGATCTTTGGTTTCAAAATCCATATACATTATTACAGTTGCAGATTGGCTCATGGTTCTTTCAGTTAATCAGAAGATGTACATTCAAAAGTGACATTGATTAAGACTCTCTAACACTAAGAGTTAAATCTCCGTCTGGTTTGGTCATAATTTTACTTTAACGTTATATGTATGGATCATAATGCAACATCTGCCAGTGTTTCAAAGCATATATAATGTTTCCCTATGATCATGAACTGCTTTTTAAGAATCATATACTTATTGCTCTTGTTTCAGCTTATGTGACCCACAACTAATCAATACTATTTGTTCTATTTTCAGTGCTTTCTGTCCTTGGAACAAAGGTCATGACACAAGATTCATCCCAAACCATAGCGCCCTCTAGCGAGTATACAATGTCCCTATCTTCACGAACTTCCTCTACAGCCATAGCCATAGGGATGAGCACACCAACTCTAACGTCCCGTAGTACTAGTGCACTGGTCACTAGTCTCCCAGTGGTCACTAACTCAATATTGGTAGGCCATGGAACGGTCAGTTCTTCAGTTCACACAATTCAGCCGACAGCTACACTATCGGATATAGGTACTGTAAAAGTAGCTTCCATATCCGGAATTACTAGTGCTGTCTCCACTGGACATCTTGTCCTGACGTCATCAATGTCTTACGGAGGAGTGGCCACATCGGTGCCCTCGGTGAGTGTGCAAGCGACTCTTGGCACCACAGCAAGTGTCACCATCGCAGGTAGTAGCCAAGTATTATCTTCATTATCGGCGTCTCCTGTCAGTGTGAGTCACGTTCCCAGTGTAGGCTCGATGGTCCGTGCCTCATCTCTCACGAGTCAGAATGTACCAAATACACAAGTTACAACTCTTTTAGATCGTCACTCTACCGCGTTATTTACCAGCCCACTCCCGGCGTCTACAAGAATTGTGTATGAAACACTGTCCAGCTTTCCATTATTTACGTCAGGCAGCTTCCAGGCCTCAACTGTAAGATCCGAATTGGCGTCGTCGTCGCTGCCCCCATCGTTGTCGTCATTGGTGATGCCCTCATTGGTTTCATCTGTTTCCCCGTCTTCATCGTTGCCCCCATCGACGTCTGCTGTCATAGTTTCGGGAGATATCTCATCTCTTAGAAATGTTACAGTGGTAAAAACAATTCCAGAGTCAGTTACACCTACACAAGCTACGAGTGTCACCTCTTCTGTCCCTTTTAGTTCCAGAACATTTGATAACATGAGCATTTCGCCTACAATTCTAGCTCAAGTTCAGTCTTCAGTCAGCCATATGACATCGGTCGTATCTTCTTTACTGCCTTCATCATCCTCACATGAAGCTTTTAATATTCATACTACAAGGACAATTCCGGAGACCGTATTGACGCCATCAAATCACGTGATAACAATGCAGACCAAATCTGAGGTTCTCTCTACGCCCATAATACCTTCTTTGGATTCATATCAGTCTCATTTGATGCAGTCTGTTCGTTCTGAACAAGCTATGTCTTCCTCTGTCGGCCAAATGACACACGCGACCTCACTACAAGAGACAGTAATACCTACAGCCACAAGTGATCAGTCCGTTATAATGACGTCAACAACAATTTATGAAATAGTGGTGGCCCCCAGCTCGTCAGTACAAAGACCCTCCACAAGTGTGCTTCCGGAACCATTCAGTACCCTTGAACCATCTGCTTCAAGTTCCCATGTGGAACTATCAACGCCTGTAGTAGCAACACCCAGGAGTTCACTTCCGGATCACTCAACAGCTCAATCCCCCGAACACTCCATTACTCTTCCTACTTTGATAGCAAGGAATATAAGTTTTGAAATAGAGTTCAAAGGTGTGTGCAATCCTTTAGTACAGAGGAAAATAGTTCTGGAAATCTTCTGGGAAGAACTTGTTGTTACCATTGCTAATACCTTACATATCGATAAAACTGTCATCAAGCCAAAAGACATCGCTTGTCGCCCTATACGTATATCATTTGTTATAATGGAAACAATGCTTGCAAACGTTACACAGACCCTGAAGACTTTAGTCGCTAGTGGAGCTTTCAAATTTAAAATCCCAGTTCTAGTTGGAGGTTCGGAATCCAAATATCAATACGAGGCCGTGTCAGTGAAACAGGTGCCGTTGAATTATGACATTGCTGGTACACCAGACTTGTACGAAATCGGTCTAAACAAGGTGGATATCATCGTAATTATCGTTGCTTGTTGTGTTTCATTCATCCTTATTTGTATAGGCTGTTGTATATGTCTTCGAGAGTATTATATTCGTAAGCGTTCACGTTCGTTTGACCTTTCAGACATCGTTAATTTCAATCTTAAATTAGAAGATTATACTTTAACGAAAATTCCGAGGAATAAACCCTTCTATTCAGATAATGCCGTGAAGATGCAATCGTTCACACGAAAAAATGGCCAACAGACAAAATCACTCCTGGAACAGGAAGAAAACTGTAATTGTGACGATGTGAACGTCATGAAAGAGGTCAAAGTTCGTATGAACTCTCACAGTGACGGGATTGTGATTGGTGTGACCGCCACGAGTATACCAGATGTGGTTACCAATCACCAAACGCCACATGACGATCAAACGGACCAATCAAAAGAGATATTATTTGAAAATGAATCGAGCCCGACGCATTGCATGGACAATCCGATCTATTTTGCCGATGATGATAGATTCACAGCTGTGTAGAAAAAAATGAACCTGGTTTCACTGTAAGAATACATTATCCTATATTTATCGCATAATTCCAGTATTACATTCAAACCACATTATACCCCCAAGCAATATTGTGTACCGGGAATGTTTTGTCACAGTTGAACGTTTTCGCTCCTAAGCTGTGAAGGCAGTGACAATGACAATTGTTTTATTCTCATAAACAATACATTGTAGAGAATACATGTATATTAAAATGCAGGTGAGAATTTATCATAACAGCCAGCGGATGTGAGAATACAACTTAAGGATCCCCGTACCACTGCCAAAAACTATAACTAAGTTTTGGTGGAAACAGTTTTTTTCCGGCATGACTATAGCTTTGATAAATTATTCATGAAAAAAACCCCGCTACCTTGAGGGACTTTTTGAAAAAACAATAAACATAATATAATCAATACTTATGTTTGTTTTGAAAGTAAAAAGTTAGCGGGGCTAGACCGGGATTCGAACCTAGACTGTCACATGATTAGTCATCGGAAATGACCGGGCCCAGCTGTGTTGTCTAATGTTATATCCGCACGGAAGTTATGGGGAGGTTACAGTATATATATATAAAAAAAACTACAGTTCAGTGGGACAGGGATCTTAAACATAGAGATCAAATGTGAACCGCGAATTAAACACTGGGCAAAAGTGACCCGGTATACTGTATATCATATACACGAAGTGTGATATAACATAAAGCGCGATTCTGATTGGTTAGTTGTTTATCCCTGTTTATTTGTGATGTCACTAATTATGATTTTCTGACGTCAACAAAGGTTCGACTGAAAGGATGGACGATGTCATTATTTTTTTTTTATTTACTTTTTTCCCATAAACACTATCATTATGTATATATTGGTTATATTAGTATGATTTATTATGAGATTGTTGTAACATTTCACCGAAGTATTAAAAGGCTAGCTATAAGAATACATATAGTAAAACCTCGTTATACTGCCATCATTTCTCCGGATAAATTTTGGCGTTATAAAGGGTGTGGCGATAACTCGGAGGACACTTCTAAATAGCTCTTATAAAAAGAAAAGAAACAACGTTGAACCATGTTGGCGGTAAGTGAGGTGGCAAATAAAAAGAGGGGCGTTATATCGAGGTTTAACGGTAAATTTTTCACGACTACTACATAACATAATGAAAACAAATTAATCCATTTTATATAAGAAAACGTGTAATATTTGTTATACAAATCACTAATTGAATATTTCAAAATTCGATTTTGGCCTTCTGAACACTCGCTTTTTGGGCGCAGTCGTATATTGTTGCACTATAGACAGGCGCTATTTTGACTGTTAAATTATTTCAACCAGTGATAAAGGTATAACACAATTAATTACAGGTATTAAAAATTCTGATAATTTATTTAAAAATCGAAAAATAAAATAATTATGTATTTTAATATATATATATATATATATTTATAATGATATCGATTCTTTGACCAATTTCAGGTATATATATTTGACGTAATGGTTAGTATTGTATTTTTAATTGGTCAATTATTTTAAGAAATGTCGTTTAAATTGTCGAATGTTGTCTTTTCATGTGTAATAACATAGTATGCGCTAATTCTGTTACAATATACATTCATATTCATCTATATTTTTACAATAAAGAATGCTATTTCAAGAGTTTGTTTTGTTATTGGTTTTCCAACAGCCAGTAATTAGTATAAAGGGGCACAGTTTGTTTCCATGGGAATGCGTAAACATACTATTGTAAAATATTGCCTCCGAACTCAACGAAGATAACGTTAGCCGAGAACCCAATAATTTTCAAGACTTCATTCTCAGTATAGTTCAGTATCTTAGCATTTTGTTGTGTTTGTCACAAAAGCTGCTCCAAGACACAACAGCCAAGGTCATATGAAGACGGGTGCCTAGGGAGACACAACAGCCAGGGTCATATGAAGACGGGTGTCTAGGGAGTCACAACAGCCAGGGTCATATAAAGACGGGTACCTAGGGAGACACAACAGCCAGGGTCATATAAAGACGGGTACCGAGGGAGACACAACAGCCAGGGTCATATAAAGACGGGTCCCTAGGGAGACACAACAGCCAGGGTCATATAAAGACGGGTCCCTAGGGAGACACAACAGCCAGGGTCATATGAAGACGGGTGTCTAGGGAGACACAACAGCCAGGGTCATATGAAGACGGGTACCCAACAGCCAGGGTCATATAAAGACGGGTCCCTAGGGAGACCTAGGGAGACACAACAGCCAGGTCATATGAAGACGGGTGCCTAGGGAGACACAACAGCCAGGGTCATATGAAGACGGGTACCTAGGGAGACACAACAGCCAAGGTCATATGAAAACGGGTGCCTAGGGAGTCACAACAGCCAGGGTCATATGAAGACAGGTACCTAAGGAGACACAACAGCCAGGGTCATATAAAGACGGGTACCTAGGGAGACACAACAGCCAGGGTCATATGAAGACGGGTGCCTAGGGAGTCACAACAGCCAGGGTCATATGAAGACGGGTGCCTAGGGAGTCACAACAGCCAGGGTCATATGAAGACAGGGACCTAAGGAGACACAACAGCCAGGGTCATATAAAGACGGGTGCCTAGGGAGACACAACAGCCAGGGTCATATGAAGACGGGTACCGAGGGAGACACAACAGCCAGTGTCATATGAAGACGGGTACCTAAGGAGACACAGAGAGAGAGAGAGAGAGAGAGAGAGAGAGAGAGAGAG